GGTGCCTGGCCAAGAGTTGACTTTTGGCATGGATTTAACCTCTCTGAGTTGAAAGCTCAGCTCCTAAGGAAAGCTGCTTGGAGCTGCTTTTGGAGATGGAAGACTCAGCTGGTGGCCCCATCATCATGGTGCATCTGCTCTTTAGACACCTAAGAACACACATAGTCCTGAGGCAGACCCAGGCACAGAGGCCCTGTGACAGTGAGTTTTAAGAGAGGCCTCCAGATCCCATAACTCTTATTTCGTCTTGAAAGGACAAAGACATGTGTTAGTTGTTTTTCCCTCAGTGGAAGATGAGAGTCTGAATCCAGTCACTTATCTATTGTCCCTGCAATTTCATGTTGGGAAAAACCTTTGGGATAATACCTGGTACACTATTGCCTAAATGATTTCTGCCCTGAACAAGATTGCTAAAAGGCTATTAAATGGCCTTTGTCCTGAACTTGATCTAAGACAAAATACAGTATTAATCCACACAAGGGGGTACTTGAGAACTATTTTTATAACTAAAGCCAGAGGTAGCAGGAGAATAAATATTGTAATAGAGAAACATCAGATTTAGCTTTGGGATGTTCCTTTTGTTTTGTTTTGTTCTGTTTTTTGAGACAGAGTCTCACTCTGTTGCCCAGGTTGGAGGGCAGTGGCGTGATCCCTGCCCACTGCAACCTCCGCCCCCTGGGTTCAAGCAATACTTGTGGCCGCAGCCTCCCCATTAGCTGGGATTACAGGCATGCACTACCACACTGGCTGATTTTTGTGTTTTTAGCATAGACGAGGTTTCACCATGTTGGCCAGGCTGGCCTCGAACTCCTGACCTCAAGTGATCCACTGACCTCGGCCTCCCAAAGTGCTGGGATTATAGATGTGAGCCCCCGCACCCGGCCTTCGGGATGTTCTTAAAAGAAGGAAAGGATTCACACACACACACGCGTGTCTTCTTTCATCTATTTATACATATATATATTTGATATTATATTTGATGTCCTAGATATGTATTCAGATGGTTATATACTTTCTTTTTTTCTACTAAATAAAGAAGGCCTATAGTGATTATCTAGTTATTCCCTTCTTTTTTTCTTACTTCTATAGTAAAGCTTTGCACATTTTTTTGGCAAAGGGCATTCTCAGACTGTGCTAGTCGCAAAAACTCAGAGCTACACTGCTCTGCAGTGCCCTCTTCTGGCTCTAAAAGCTATTGACAATCACCTGAAATAATTAGCAAAACAAAGAATACGGAGATCCATTTCATGATAAGTAATTTCAGATCTGAAATTGTAAATTACAGCTATGAAAGGAGTAATTGCTCTTTCTGGATCTAAACATATCAGAGATGTGGGAATACAAAGGAAGGAGATGAATGATGTAATTACAAAGAGTTTACTTTGAAAAAAGTCAAAGATTCATTGAAAAAGATTTTCTTTGGTTTTGTTTGTAAACTGAAAACATCCAACTGCCTCAGATAACAATTATTTGACAGGATTAATAACTCAAAACAAGTAAATTAAATTTAAATTATCACAATATAGAGATATTTTTAAAGTCTTGAACTTCTAAGTTAAAACACGTTTCCAGAATTATATACTTTAACACATAATTCAAAACTTCAACTCAATTTCCATAGAGTTATTTGTGATTGAATAATTTGGACCTGAAAGACATTCCAATGTATGAATCTTGCTGATTTTTTGGCAATGTCTTCTAATTAATGTACATGTTACTCTTTTTTCCCCTTAAAACAGAGAAACTTGGGCCATTCGACCTGTAGTTTTTGAGAGTCTGGATTTTTTTTTTTTTTTTTTTTTTTGACAGAGTCTCACTCTGTCACCCAGGCTGGAGTGCATACAGTGGCATTATCATGACTCACTGCAGTCTTGACCTCCTGGACTCAAGTGATCCTCCTGTCCCAGCCTTCTGAGTAGCTGAGTAGCCACCACATACAGCTAAGTAACATTTTTAAAAAAGAGATGGGGTTTCTTCATGTTGCACATGCTGGTCTTAAAATGCCTGGACTCAAGCAATCCTCCTGCCGTGGCCTCCCAATATGCTGGGATTGTAGAAGTAAGCCACCACACCCAGCCAAGAGAGTCTGGATTTTGCCGAAAGTACACTCTTGGTACAGTTCAACACGTTCTTCTGTCTTCTATTTCCTGAAAATTGGCAGCTGGTTCCAGAGGTTTCATCAGACAGACTCTGGTTTCATCCCTTTGGCAAGGCCATAGGTGGCATCAGATTCTTCCATCGAAAGGAACAGAGCGTGTGTGTTTCTTTTTGTGATGCTATGGGTCTTGATGTTCATTTCTTAGATCCGTTGACTTCATTCAGTTTGCAAAATTGTCATTTATTTTTCACTTATTAGTTGGGATAGTTTTATAATGAGGTGCTTTCCCTCCTTTATTATTTGGTTACCAGTAGCAAAATTGGTATGGAAAAGCCAAGATAAATGCTTGATT